GCGCCCGGCCTTTTAAAATAATTATTATAAATACTACAGTGAAAATATCAGAAATCCAAGGAGAAATTTTTCTACCATTCCTTTTCAAGTTTAAGTCAATGTTTTCATTTGCCTATGTTAACTTCTAGGCCATGTCCATAAGCATATGTTGTTTTTTTGTTTACATTATCATAATATAATTACATAAAGTAGTCTGTTCACATGATGTCATACATATTTTTCCAGAAGATTTGTGTTATAACTCAATTAAGCAGCCTGATACAGCTCTGTAGATAATGGAGGTAATTTTACCATTAACTGAGCCTGAGATACTTTCATTAAAAGTTTCCCTATAAGGAAAAAAATAAAGTTTAGCCTGGTTATTCTGAAAGCTGATATAAAAATCCGTAAGCCTATAAAAGTCACACATGACGTTTGCCTTCCTTTATTTGCTGTATGTTCTTCAGTGCTCGCATGCCTTACCCTGTGCCTGGCACAAAGTAGAAGCTCAACAAATATCTCATGCATGAACAAATGATACTTTTCTTGGCTCTACAGTGAAGTTGTAAAATAGGATTTCTTAAGAGCAGGGACAGAAGACTCCAAAATTAAGCCTGAGAACAAGGCAGGGTGGACAACAGCAAAGCAGGCAGGAAAGGCAACCAGAAACCCCACGGCAAAGACCAGCTACAATGCCCAGGAGGAAACGTGGTTTCCTGAATCGCACCCATTCAAAACCTTCAACCTTTGAAGCATGACATATGTAAACCATGTTAGGGACCCATAGCTGTCCCATCGGTAACAGTTTGGGGTTGTTGTAAGTGTTACTGCCCCTTCAGGAACACTTTGGGGTTGTTTTGGGGTTGTTTACATTATTGGGCTCCTCTCTCCCTAGCACTATTTCTGGAACGGATACGAAGCTGAAGGCAGCTGTGGAAGAAAAATAAGGCTGCAAAGAATTGAAGTAGGTACGCTTCAGAAGAACAACGCATGCAATGTCGTTAGGGGAAGGATTCTTTAGCTAGTATCCATTGTGTCTCCTCTGTATACTACAGAGGGACTTCAGGAAACTGAACACCCTGAAACTGATGTAGTGTGTGAGTGTGTGTGTGTGTGTGTGTGTGCGTGTGTGTGTCTGCCTGGCTGTCTAAGGAGGAGAGCTCAGCTTTCATCAGATTCTCATGTCTTCTGGTTTTAAGGTCTGCTCCTCCTTCCACTTCATCAACTCAAGTGAGACTCTTCTGAACCCATCCTTATTTGCTAGGGGCTAGAGATGGGGATGAGAGGCAGGGATGAGAGAAAGAGCAGGTGAAAGACAGGAGAACCAACCCTACGAAAGGCCTTCTATTGAGCGAATACATATGGAAGGCTTAGAGAGTGCCCAGCATGTCCAAGGACCCATAAATGTTAGCTCTTATTATTATTATTACTCTATGCCGAGCACTTCATGTTTTCTCAACCCCACAACAACCCTATGAGTTCAGCATAAGTCCCATATCCTATTTATGAAGAAACTGAGACTCAGAGAGATCGAGTAACTAACCCAGCGTCACAGAGCTAGTGGTGGAGTTTAATCTAATTCCTCAGCTTGGCTTCTTACTCTCCACCCCATAGCCTGAATTACTGGCCAGGCTTTCAGTCTGGATGGAGCCTCTCCGTCCACCCTTCAGGCTTTCACATCTAAAGCCCAAGGATCCTGTTCTTTCCCTGTCTGTCCATCAGATCAGGCGCAGAGACTAAAGATGAACCTCTTCGAGCCAAGACATAATCTACTTGCTTACATAACATGGCCTAAGTCATCCCACTCAAATTCAACCCTCGAAGCCAGGGTTCTGAGTGTTAATTAAAGAAATAAATCATACTTATCACAATTAACTCCCTGCCTTTATGACGCAGCCAAGTCAAAGGCCAGAAGGGAAGCAATGTTTTCTAGTAGTCACAAGCCAGAGCCGTGAGAAAGCTTTAAACCAAGTCTAAATCAATGGTTTCAAAATCCATGCTAAAAACTTCAGTTAGACATCAGCTAACAAAACACCCTTCCATCCCATGAGAATCATGGCAATTGCCCGACTGAGCACTTCCTATGTGCTGGCACTTTACATGTGCTATTTCTATGCCTCAAAAGAGCCAAGCAGGCTGGATAGATGCTGCTTGAGAGAGGGTAAGCAAGCCCCTCAGGGTCCCACAGGCACTGAGTGGCAGAACCAGGCTTGAACCCAGGCCTCTTAGTGACAGCGCCCGTGCTGTTAACCATTCCCTTCCAACCGGGTCTACATCGTCCCTGTGATTCATGGAACCCAGGGCCAACACCGACTCTTGGTTTTCCCTGAAACCACTTCCCTGAAACCTGGCAAAGCTCTTGGGAGGAGGCGCCGAGGAAGCAAGACAGACTGACTATAAATAGAAGATCCAGGTTCAGGGTCCAGCTCTGCTACTTACTAGCTCTGTCACCTTGGGCAGATCACTTAAACTTCCAAGGCCTCAGTTTCCTCAGCTTTGCAATGGAGATGATCGTTAATGCCGCACGTTGCACTGATCTAGAAGAGAACAAGCTGAGGCTTAGTTATGCAAATGTGCGTTTCCATTGCCCACTAATTCAAGAAAACTAGGTGGGGCCTTTCTCAGCCTCCCCTCTTGGCTCATCTTCAGAGTCCTTGGCACCCACAGAGTTCCACCACCACCCGCCTCGTGCTCCTATCCTCCCTGGTGGCTGCTGCCTAATTTCCCCTCCATTTCAGCAGTTCTTCTCTTGCCTGGCCGGGAAAACTAGTCTTGGACGCTCAGACTTCTGGTTACTTTCTTCTCTCCTTCCGACTTTGCGCACCAGGATCTGTCTCTCCTCAGAAGCCCGCGCATCACTGCGGAGCTCTTCGCGGGGCTGCTCCGCGCTCTGCGGTGCCAGAACCCGGTGCTCGCGGGACAGCGCGTCCCGCCCCTCAGAGAGGGGTGGGACCTGAGAGTTTAGATAGGAGGCGGCTGCTGTGGAGAACACTCCGCCGGCCGCGGAGCTTCCTCTGAGGCGCAGTCTCTCTGCCAGAGCTGCGCGCGGGCCGGCAGGGGGCTCCTCCGCACGCGGGCGCCAGGGCCCTAGCCCTCCCGCGGCCGCCGCTCCGGCCCGCCATGCGGTCGCCTTTCTACGGCTGCCACAACGCTACCTCAGTGGAGAAGGGCAACTCGGCGACAATGGGCTGGTTGCTCTTCAGCGCGGGCCTCCTGGGCAACCTCCTGGCCCTAGGGCTGCTGGCGCGCTCGGGGCTGGGATGGTGCCCTCCTCGCCCGCCGCGCCCGCCGCGCCCGCAGCCGTCGGTCTTCTACGTGCTGGTGTGCGGCCTGACGGTCACAGACTTGCTGGGCAAGTGCCTCGTGAGCCCCGTCGTGCTGGCTGCCTACGCGCAGAACCGGAGTCTGTGGGTGCTCGTGCCCGCATGGGGCAACTCGCTGTGCCAAGTCTTCGCCTTCTTCATGTCCTTCTTCGGGCTCGCCTCGACGCTGCAGCTCCTTGCCATGGCGCTGGAGTGTTGGCTCTCCCTGGGGCACCCCTTCTTCTACCGACGGCACATCACCCCGCGCCGGGGCGCGCTGGTGGCGCCGGTCGTGAGCGCCTTCTGCCTGGCTTTCTGTTCACTGCCTTTCGCGGGCTTCGGGAAGTTTGTGCAGTACTGCCCCGGCACCTGGTGCTTCATCCAGATGGTCCACGAGGAGGGCTCGTTGTCGGTGCTGGGCTACTCTGTGCTCTACTCCAGCCTCATGGCGTTGCTGGTCCTCGCCACCGTGCTGTGCAACCTGGGCGCCATGCGCAACCTCTACGCGATGCACCGGCGCCTGCGGCGCCTCGCGCCCTCCAGCACCAGAGAGCTGCGCGCGGGCGAGAGGGAGGCGTCCCCACAGCCCCTGGAGGAGCTGGATCACCTCCTGCTGCTGGCCCTCATGACCGTGCTGTTCACTATGTGTTCCCTGCCCGTAATCGTGAGTCTCTGGGCGCTGAGGCTGTAGGGCACTGGGGCGGTCGGGCCGCAGGCGCGGGGTGGGCAGGGTGGAGCGCGATGGACTCGGTGCGAGAGAAGCTGCGCCCCAAGCTAGGAGCGTTGGTCGTATTCCCTCCACAACCCCAAGATAAAATCCAAATTGTGGGGTGAAAAACCGGAAAGTTAGAGAAGTGAAGGGAAAAGACTGAGCCTGACGGTGTCTCCTTAGCTTAACAAAACAGCGCCCATTTGGCAGAACGCCTCCTCTCTGCTTGCCTCTGAGGAGAACTTAAGGTCATGTTTGCTCCCCAGACCTTCGAGAAGCAGAATTTGCTTCCTTCTTTAATACAAGTCCTCTACTCCCCAACGGCCAGGTGATGTCTTGTTAGACCTGCCCACAATTTTAGTGGTATCAGAAATAGGCGAATGGTGTTTGGGAGTTCTTCACCGGGGTGTTGGCGTGGAAAGGGAAAAAGGGAAGTTTTAATTCTGCCAGAATGGTTTGCAGAGGTAAGTGACTAAATGCATAGGTTTAATTTTGGAAAGCTTGTGGGTAAAATTTGAGGCGCCGTGGCTGCTGCCGCCGCCCAGGAATGGTGGTGGTAGAGGCCGAGGCCATGTTTCAGGTAGTCACGTGGTTTTGACAACCTGTCTTGACAGGTTTGTTTCTATCTTGGCAAGTGATGTGACTTGAAAGCCATTATCTCAGGTTTCAATTTACTAATGGGGATGGTGGTGGAGATTGAATTACCTTGTCGTTTTGAAGGTAGTGGCCCCTGGTGTCCCCGCCAGGACACCTGGGAGTGGCTGAGCCTTGAGAAACCTTATTGGATTCCGTATTGCTTCTCTCCTTTCCTCTACCCCCCCGCCCCATGTACCTGTTCAGCAAGAACGGCATTTAAATATATCACATTGCCAATTCAATGTCTTTGGAGTCCTGAGACTTACCTGAATAGTTGTTAAGTTTCTTATCATAGTGTAGCCGTAGCAATTTGGATGTTACTTTCAATGATGGATGAAGGGGGAAATATAAAGTGATTTTCCCTTAAATGAAGTCCTTAATGTGTGGGAAAAGAGTAATTATAACATCATTATACAGGGGCAGGATCAGAACTCCCCAAAATAAATAAGTAAATACATCTATATAGATACAGATACAGGCCTAAATGATATATAGCAGTGGTTCTCAAACTTTAGCATGCTCAAAATCATCAGCATAGCTTTTAAAAAGAAAGATGGCTGGGCCCCATTTCCCAGAGTTTCTGATTTAGACATTTTTGAAGAACTTTTGTTCTTAAGTTCCCAGGTGATATCAAAGCTTCCGATTCAGGGATCACGTTTGTAGAACCACCGTCTATAACAGGAGTTGGCAAACCACAACTCACAGACCAAATCTGTCCTGCCTGCTGTCTTTGTACAGCTCTGGAGTTAAGAATAGTTTTTACAAATAAACATTTGCAATCAGTTTGATGATAGGACCCAAGAGACATATGAGCTCCAATTAAGCTAAAAACTATGCCAAGAAAACATTTCATTCTTCTCCTTAGTAGATGTATATTACAAAAGAATTGTAGTCAGTCATTCTTATTATTGTTACATTTTTAATTTCATCAATAAAAAATTGTGAAAATCTGTTTTCTCTCATAAGTACCTATCAAATATTCATGATTTTGCCTCTTGGCCAGTAAAACTTAAAATATTTACTATGCAGTCCTTTACAGAGAACTTTTCCAGACCGCTATTTTAGAGCAAGAGCTGCACTTACCTATGCTGTGATAAAAACAGTCAAATGCATGGAAGTTTTCATCTGAATTTGAATGTTTTAGTAAGACTAATACTGAAAGCAGCAAGATACAGTGGAAAGAACATTGCAAGTGGACATGTCTGTAAGGGGATGTGAGTAACTCGTAGGGTATTGCGAGGATTGAAGGAATAATGGAGTTGAAAATGATTTTCTAAAAAATTTGTAAAGTTCCAAATATATGTAATGTTGATAGCATTTTTCACAGGAACCATCATTTTCTAGAAAGGGTAAGG